CACACCATCACCATAACCGGCGCTTGAGTTCTGGTGGCTAACCGAAGATGAACATTTTCAGCTGACCTCTTTGGCAAGTAAACACGATCATTTTGTTTGTTTACAAACTGCTGGACAACGAATGTTTCCTCATCGGAGAAAACCACATATGGCAGTTCACCACTTTCGGCTAAGCGAAGCAGCTCTTTAGCTCTTTTGAGTCTATTTTCTTTCTGTTGCGTTGTTAGTTCTTGCACTTTTTGGAATTTCAATGGCTTTACCCCCAGCTCATTTTTTCAATATTTGCCGAATGGAATATTGCGATATGTTCAGCTCGCGATCCATTTTTCGAGCACTGAGACGCGGGTTTCGATCAAGTCGCTTCTTTACTTTCGAACCATTTCTACTGATGTTGCTGTTTTCTTCCTTCCACTTCTTTGACGTCGGGCTACACTACCAATATCACAGTATCGGTAACGAGCGATGGTACGAGACACAAAATATTTATTCACATATGAATGCTGCAGTGCTCTAACGATAGCCACTTGTGGTTTTCCAGCCAAATATAAAGAAATCACACTATTACCCTTGAATTCCATCACGAATAACTTTTTTTCTGGAAAATACTCACCAAAATGCTATTGTACGCTTGAAAACAATATAATAAGCTGTCACTGGAATAATTTTAACAGCCGTCGGACGAATGGCTTAGATATGATAGCAGGAATGTTGCAGTTTTTTCATCTCACCCTGTACATATATATTCTTGATTCTAAAAAGATTTAGCCCTGTCCGTCTGTTGTAATCAAACTAGAGTCAAAGCGAATAAAAATAGGAAACTAAAATTTTGCACAGATCAGTCTTTTGTCTGCAGGCAAGTCAAGTTTAAAGATGAGCTATATCGGTCCACGATATTCGGTATAGCCCCCGATATTTGGTATTTTAATGATTGTAGCCAAAGAGTTCTTTCTGAGTACTTTACCTCCTGGAAGAGTATTGTCCACGATATCGTATATCCCCCATATAACCTCCCTATATTCGGTATTTTGATGATTTTAGCTACATGTTTTTCAATGGAATTGTTTAAAATCCATGCCCAAAAAATCTTTCTAAGCACTTTGCCCCCCTAGAAGAAAATTGTCCATATAGGTCCACGATAGTCCCACATACAACAGTGAACACCAATATTCGATTCGGAGTTGTTTCAAATTTCGTATTTAGAGTTTGTAATGGGAACTACAGTCTATGACAGAAAATTGTCTATGAAGGTCCACGTATATTGGTATAGCCAACATATAATGATATCTCCCTATATTAGGTATTTTGATAATTTTTTTCAAGTTTCGCATTTGAATATTGTAATGGCTAATGACAAGAGTCGAGGTATATACCGTATAGAGGCTACATTCGGTATTTTTAAGATTTTAACAGAGTTTTCAACGGATTTTAGGGTTTGAAAATTGCCTAATTCATTCCAAATGGTGGAGGGTATTTAAACTTCGGCGCCGCCGAACTTACAGCTATTTTACTTGTTTTCTCCAAATTTTTCGATTAGGTAACATTTTTTAAATCATTTTTTCATTAACATATTAGCTCACCATAATTGCAAATACATTTAACTTACCTAAAAAGAAAAATGAAAAAAAAAATAATTAAAAAATGAAGAAAAATTATTCTAATATTATTATTATCATACAAAATGAAAAGATTTTTACAAAAAACATGTGGCAACATATTATCCAAAGAAATTGTTATGTTATGAAATTAATTTTGTTTGTTGGAGTAAATTAACGCATTCGCATCCAAGATGCATTGGAGAATTGTTTAGTACCTTGCTTTTAAGGTACAGGGTTGTCCACATTCGACGGACCCATCTGGCAACGCCATTACTTTTTAAAGAGATGTCACATCGCTTAATGACATACCACGTGTGAAGCGTCAGTCCAAGCAGATTTTTACCATGAACCAATACACGACACGCGAGCGCTCTGAAATAGTTGGAATTTACAAGAAGTCAATTGTGAAAACTCAACGTGCTTTTAAAACATTAAAAAATGTGAGAAGTGCGCCTTCTAAAAACACCATTAAGCGTTTATTCGAAAAAATTTCGATTGGTAAGGCTCTTTCTAATCCGTAGAGGCCATATAAAATCGACCAAGGCGATCGGCCGAGAATATCGCTGCCGTACGAGCCAGTGTTGAGAGGTCCCCAAGAACATCCCAAAAACGCCGTTCTCAGCAGTTGGGCATGGCTCGGTCCACTTTATAACGGATTATTCGCATTAACTTGCATTTGTTCCCGTACAAAATTCACTTGACGCAAAGAATGTTGCCTGCGGACAAGCCTCGTCGATTGGAATGGGCCCAAAAAAAACATGGATCCGTCGAATATGGGCAACCCTGTATTAATCTTTATTTTGTTACCTAACAGATTGAGCAAATCCCCCCTTTACCACATATTTTGAAAATTTCGGATTCGAGAATCATTGGAATCCTTACATTTTAGGAATAAAGTGACTTCAGATATATAGCAGACTAGCAAGTGCCCGCTACTTCATCTGCGAAAAGTCTACCTTAAAATTTTAAATTTATTCCGATAGTTCGTGTTAGGAGGAGGGTTTTAGTAAAACCATTGCACAATGGACCCACATCCAATTTTTCTGTCCAAAACTATTTTAACGTCTTTTCATAATATATATTGGCCACTACCATATCTAAATCCTAGAAACCAGTAGTGACCTCAACATAAAATTTAGTACCATTTAGTACTTTTCGAACAATTATAGTAGGTATTCAGGAATCCACCTTCTTTTCTCAAAACTATACACCAATAGTAGCCTTCATATAAAATTTCAAAATTCTAGCTCAATCCTAAAATCCAATCCCAAATTTATTTCCATACTTTTCGTACAGTTATACTACGAATGTCCAAAACCAGCTTCTTCTCTCAGGCACATCTTACAATAGTGACATCTATATCCAAATTCGGGATGTCAGCTGTTTTCCTTCACACAAAATCACATTTAGTACTTTTCGTACAACTATAGTAGGCACCTCCAAAACCACCTCCATATCGTAATTTCAGATACCATCACATCAAAGTTCATGATTTCAGCTCTATTCCTTCACTCAATACAATCAAATGTAGGGATTTCAGCTCTATCCCTTCACCCAATATCCAGTTGAGTAAAATTTACAACTATTTGTACAACTAAAGTACGCATTTCCAAAAACCACCTCCATATCTCAATTCCAGATACCACCTGAGGCCTCTATATAAAATTTCAGGATTTCTGCTCTCTCCCTTCACCCAATACCCAATTTAGTACCACTTAGTACTTTGCGAACAATAATAGAACACATTTCCTAAAACAGCACCAAAACTCAACCTCAGATACCAACAGTTATCTAAATATCGAATTTCGGAATTCCAGCTCTATACTTTTACCAGATTTAGTACTTTTTGTACAACTATAGTACGCATTTCCAAAATCACTTCCATATCACAATTCTAGAGACCTTAATATCAAATTTCGTCTCTATCCCTTCATCCAATACCTAATTTAGTAGTACTTAGTACTTTTCGAACAACTATGGGACACATTTCCAGAACCGCCTCCAAATCTCAACCTCAGATATCAGAAAATATCAAAATATCAAATCCCCTCAACAAAGATCATATTTAGAACGATTAAATTCTTTCCGTACTACTATAGTACGCACATGTCAACCCTAAAAACGGCCACATCGAAGAAAACGACAACATCAGAAGAAATGGTTGGAAAAGTAAGGAAGCGACTTGATCGAAACCCGCGTCGCAGTGGCCGAAAAATGTCTCGTGAGCTGAACATATGGCAATATTAAATTCGGCAAATATTGAAAAATGAGTTTGGGGTAAGGCCATTGAAATTCCAAAAAGTGCAAGAACTTACACCGCAACAGAAAGAAAATAGACTCAAACGAGCTAAAGAGTTGCTTCGCCTGGCCGAAAGTGGTGAACTGCCGTCCATGGTGATGGTGTGGGTCGCCATAACAGCCGAATGTCGCTCTCCGCTTGTTCCATTTCAGCAGGACTCAGAACCATCGCACTCAGCACGCGCCATCCAAGAATGGTTACAAAATGAGGTTCCTCGCTTCATTTCCAGCGCACAATGGCCACCAAAATCTCCGGATACCAATCCGTTGGACTATTGTGTCTGGAGTATTTTGAAAAGCGAGGTTGGCACTAAAAAATTCCAAAGTGTCGATCACCTCAAGCAAGTGCTTCGCCGGAAATGGGCCAAAATACCGCAGAGCAACATTTGGGCAGCGTGAGACGTTTTCATTCGCCATAATTCGTGCCAAATGTGACCAATTCGAACAAATCTAAACTTATTCTAAAATTTGATGCTATTTCCGACATTTGTTGCTTTCATTTAATAAAATTTAAAAAAAATGTAAAAATTATGACGTTTGACTTTTTTGCAGTTTTTTATCTCACCCTGTATAATTATCGTAGGATAATTAAAATGGATATTTAAAGAAACAATGTACAATACTACACAAATTTCAAAATCTTTTTCGAATTCTATAACAATTATAATCTCAGGTATAAATAAATCTGATCAAATTAACATACGCTGTTGCTCCTGAAACATCCATCTAATTGTAAAGGACATAGGCACGTGAACATAACTTCGAGTCAAGTTCCTTTCAATGCTTGACTGCAAGTACACATTTCCATTAATGGAGAAACGACACAAACACACTCGAACATTTTACAACATGGACTGGGGCATTGGGGAAAACTAGGTACTAATAGTGATGATACGGGGACGTGGATAAGCAATTAATGACCTATCGTTATACACATCACCGTCATCACCACCATCATCATCATCATCTTCGTCATCGACAAGTGCACATGATGAACAACACACTTGCAGGCAATATTGGTTGTAACAGTTGCTCGATTACAGCCGGATGAACACAGCAACAACAGCAACAACAACATAAAACATGTTTTTGTGGTTGCGAACATACCTTCAATAGAGATATATGGCCGAGGCGAAACATTATCAAATGAGCGATTAATAACAGATGCCGGAGAATTGACCATTTCTGCGGTCATGTGGCAATGTTGCTGATCAAAATGCTGATATTCTTGTTCGTTGGATGATGACATAGTTGCCGATGGGAGATTTGATTTCAACATTCCCGTCGTCGTGGATGTCGTCGTTGCAGCCCTCCTCTGTGATGGCTCATTTTTATCATCGGCATCAGTCAGACTAGGCACACGGTTGTTGTTGTTCTTGTTTATTTCCAATACTACTAAAAATAGATTCAAAATATGTTGGATATGACTAGGTGTGGGGGGGGAGTGGCAGGGTGTGTTGGAGATAGCCCTCATTGTGTAATAGAGGGCAATTTATGTCAGTGTCACGAGTCATTTGTGTATTATTGGCCTTGTAAATTGTCATGCTGAACATGTAATAGTGTGCTCGATATTTATTAATTTCGTTCCATCATTTTTTTTCAGAACGATATCGATGAGATGTTTACATTTTCTCAGGAATACGAGAGCAGAAATTTATCTGCTTGTGGCGTATGTCGTGAGTGAATATTGGAGTTTTCTCGAAGAAGTCAGCGCATAATAGAAATATACCATCATTGTACAGAATTATGGCTGTTTCTGAAGCGTTTAATATTTCCACCAATTATGTTTAATTGGAAAGTATTTTAACTATGGAAAGAAGGTCTCATACCTATAGAAGACACATTGAAGATTTTCTATCTATTGGAAACCTGTGGACGGTTTAATATCTATAGAAGACTTATTGGATAGGGTCTTTCGTTTATAGACGAAATATAGAAGGTATTCTATATAGAATAGGAGAGCTATACCATGCCTTTTGTCTATTGAAAATTAATATGGAGGCGTCATACCTATAGAGGACATGTGAGGAAAATCGGAAGGTGTTCTTTCTATAGCAAAAAATGCCCTTGGTCATATGGCTACAGAGGGTATTTATCATTTTATACCACAAAAATGTTTGTCTGCCTATGGAAACCAGTATCCGATTTATTTCAAAATTAGCTAAGCGTTAAATTTTTGCAAAGAAAAGATCGAGTTCTGAGAGTAAAAATATCGGTTAACTCCTTTTCGTACCATAAAGTGTGCAATTTTTGTTTAATTTTCTTCAAGCTTTGCTTATCCCAAAAGGGTACCAAAAAATCTCACATGGATTCCCAAAAGGGGTCGAAATCCTTTAGTTCTCTTTAAAGTTCGCATATTGCAATATTTCAACCTACATTACCCCTACACCTTTTTTAGATTGTAATTTGAATCATTCGAACTGTAATTCGAATCATACGAATTGTAGTTCGAGAATTCCAATTGTAATTTGAATTATTTCATTTGTAATTCGAATTATTCCATTTTTAATTCGAAGTACTCCAACTGTAATCCGATTGTGGTAGGTATCCGTTATACTCCATCATCATACCATATCTTTTGTTGATAGAAATATTGGAATGTGTCGAGTTTAAAAGGAATCGGATGCTCGTTTCGCGTTTTATGAGCTTCATGGATATTCAAAGCAATGAAACTTTTGGAGAAGGTACCAGATGGAGTGGCCCCACCTTTACAGTCTTCACAACAGATCTGTGAATAACAGAAATATTGAGATGTGCGAAACTTGAAGACAATCAAACTCTTATTTCGCATTTCCTAAAGAAATGTAATTATTTAAAATTTGTATCCTCTGTGGTGGAGGTACTAAAGAAGTGGGAGGATATTGTCCATTTTTTGTCCACATGAGGGTTTGCGAAGTTCGTGGAATGCAAAGGGTATGATGTCTTTGTGCATTTCTTTGTAATAGGGAGAAGGAAGCGAGATAGACCCATAGTTACTTCTGAGTATATTCATAGAATCACCTTCTGAGCCAATTTATGCATGTCAGTCCGTTTGTCCGTCCGTCCATGTATTCTTGTGAACAAAATGCAGGTCGCATTTATTATCCAATTGAGATGAAATTTTCTACAATAATATATGTTTGGCACAAGCACGAACCCTATTGAAATTGGTGATAATCGGATCAGATTAAGGTATAGCTCCCATATATTTTCAACTAATTTCGTGTTAATTGTGCAACAAATGACCAATATAAGTCCAAATGGCCTGAATTTTATCACATCCAACCGAATTCAGTCTAGAAGCAAGTACATCAAATTAAGTGAAAATCGGTTCAGATATAGCTATAGCTCCTATATATGTTTCATCCAATTTGGTGTTGAAGTCCCTCAAATTCCTAATATATATTATATTTCCTAATATATATTATATTTATAAATTAGTTCCTTCTGAAACCAAACTATAACTGCTCTAAGGCCAAATGTTGATTGGTGGCATGATCTACTTCAAGTAAATTCTTTTGCCACGGGATCTCTTTTTAATACACATAGTGGTGTAGGGTATCATATAGTCGGCCCCGCCCGACTTTTGACTTACTTTTGACTTACTGGTCCTTACTGGTATGCAGATAAAGTATTGGATAAAGTATAAGAATGGACTACATCTGGTACCTCACACAAATTTTAAATTTTCCATACCCTCTGAATAAAGTTGACATCTCAGTTTGATTATAAAATCGACTTATTTACTTGAACGATAAAGCATTGAAAACCCCGCGCGTATTTTCTCTTTATTTTCATCTGACAAGCTTTGGTAAAGGAACGACCATCTTACCACAACAAATGCTGGAAGATTTCGTGGAACACTGCTGTGGACCGATCTTAGTGTTTCCACTTTTAATGGCGTAGAGCTTCCGCTCCTGATGAATTTCAATTGAACATTCATCAAAGAACGAACACAAAAATTCTTCCCTTTGCCCTTAATGGATATTGAAAATCAGATTTGTTTTGTTTTTTTTTTCGAACTGCTGGCCTATATTTAAACTTTGGTGCAACATCAAAGTGTTTGTAATTTTCAACACGTACACGCAGGAGATATCATCGACAATACTTGATATCTGTTAGGCGTTGTTGCAGTTCGGGTTGTCACCTCGTTTGGCCAATGTCACAATGACAATGTTTCCAAGTGCTGAATAACAGAGTGCGTGAGTGTCTGTATGTCGGTGTGTGTGCCGGTGATGGTGGTGTTGGTGGCTCGACTGAGTGCATGTGCATTCATATGTGTGTTACCTCCATGTCCTGTTGTATCGAATGTATTAATACATTGTAATTCTTGTGATTGGTCATCCTTGTCATCTGTTTCAAATTTGCGGTCTGCATTTGAAAATGATGTCCTGGCATTTTTGCTACGTGCCGTGCTGATTGGAATATTTGACGACTCGTTTTCGGGAGAATATCGTTTTACGGTTGAGTCCGTGACCATAACAGCGGTGGCAGTTGCTTGTGGAGGAATGGCGACTGCATGCACCAAGAGACCAACATTTTGACCTTCCACCTGTGGCACGTATGATACGATTGCTGGAGCATTATGTTCTTGTGGAGCTGTAGTTGTTTTATTGTGGCGCCCAACAGGTGAGGGCGATTGTATTGATGCCATTTTTTCCGACCAATTTGTATGCCCGGCATTTAACCCGGCAGGGGAAGATGCTCTGGATGTCGCCACATGAGCTTCAATTAAGGCTGAGGGATATTTACGCATTGTAGATGTAGTTGACAAATCGTCAAATGCTGGTGGAGGTGGGAGGACAGCATTTAGACCCAATGGTGTGTGGGCCCTCTGGTTTGGTTCTTGGAACTCGCCAAAATTGTCATCCACAACGTTCAAGCCAAATGGCGAGGCCGAGCGGCTAGGTACATGTGGTTCAATGAGTGCCGATGGATATTTGCGTATTGGCGAAATATTTCGGGTGTTTTTTTCCAGGGACATTGATGGTGGTGGAGGAGGCGGTGGCGGCGGTGTGGGAATTGCCTTAATTGTCGACGTTTGTGGTATGGAATACTTTTGCAATTTATTCTCTAAGCCATCTGGTTTTGCCCAGCTTGGTGAGTTGGAACGTTTAGTTGTGCAATATTCCTCAAATGGGGATTTGGCTCTTTGGGGCGGATAGGGTTCTGCCAGAGGGGCAGGATATTTACGTATGGCATGAATGGAGTCTTCATTAGGGTTCTTGGCGGGTGATTTCGATTTGGAACGTTGTGTGGCAGATGAAGTATCATGAGGCTGCGACTTGGCTTCGATGAAAGGTAATGGTGGTGTTTCTATGTGGGATTTCAATGATTGCCCGGCTCTTACTGGAGATTTAGATTCGGAACGTGGCTGGACATCAAAAGGCGAACAAGATCTTCGAGGAGGATATGGTTCAACCAATGGGGCAGGATATTTGCGTAATAAGTTCGTTGAATTCGCCTCTCTTGCTGGAGACTTGGATGTGGAACGATGCTTGCAGTGAAACGGCGAAACCGATCTACGTGGTGGATATGGTTCCGCCAAAGGAGCAGGATATTTGCGTAATGTTACTGAGACATGGCCTGCTCTCCCTGGGGATACAGATTTCGAACGTTGCTTCGAAAAACTTGGTGACATTGATCTTCGCGGTGGATATGGCTCAGCCAAAGGCGCAGGATATTTGCGTAATGTTTCTGAAACATTACTCACCCTTCCTGGTGATACAGATTTCGAACGTTGCTTCGAAAAACTTGGATCAAATGGTGACATTGATCTTCGCGGTGGATATGGCTCAGCCAAAGGCGCAGGATATTTGCGCAAACATGTGGTGGATTGTGGGGCCACTCTGGCTGGAGACATTGACTTGGAACGTTGTCTGGTGTAGATGGAATCGATTGGAGAAACAGATCCCCGTGGTGGATATGGTTCAGCCAAGGGAGCTGGATACTTGCGTAGAGGCCCCGTAAAATTTTGACTTCTACCTTGTTGCCCACCACGTCCAGGTGATACTGATGGCGTACGTTGTTTGGAGTTGGTGGCATTTGAGCCATCATTTAATGACTTTTTATTTTTGCCCTCAACGAGCCTCAATGGTGGTGAAGGTGTTCTCGGTTGACTTGCCACTTTTGTGTCCACAGCATTTAGGCCAAATGGTGAAGCAGAACGCCTTGCCGCCAAATGCGGTTCAATAAGCGGAGCAGGATATTTTCTTAATTTATCATCAGTTGGCACAAGTTTTGTACAGAAAGGTGGCGGCGGAGGTGGTGGGGGAGGAGGTGTTAATACAGATGACTCCTGCCGCGGTGGAGATTTTTGCGTAGCTTGCATGCGTGATTTTGACGGCATCGTTGATTGCATTTCAACGTGACCACTTGCCATCGACAGTGTTTGTTCTTTGGCTGTTGGTTCCTTTTCTTTGCTGGCTGTTACATCGACACTTTTGCTCTCGTGCCCATGGCATTTTGGAGTGGAGCTGATGTTTGCTTGCACATCCTCCCAAGAGATTTGACGTTCGGTTACATAAGGACTTGGTAGCTCATATGACGACTTGTAAGTGTCACCATTCGTTGGGGTGGTTTTTGGTACTTGCTGGCGGCACTGTTCATCTTCCAGCTTGACACTTTTGTCAGCTATTGAGGGCTCCTTCCCGGGTTTGTGGCTTGGACGGCCAGAGTTCGTTAGTTGTTTGTCATATTTAGGAAATTGCTTATCAGCCATAATGCCCGTTGCATTTTTAATAGCCAATTTAAGACGAGGTCTATCGTTTCGTTGACCGCCGTGTAATGGTGTGCCACTGCCAGGGGCAGGAGCCATATTTTCTGCCGTCTCATCAGCTCCAGTATCCAAATTTCGTGCCACTTTTCGCACGGAATGTGTGACGGCCGCATTCTTTTCCCTGTTTGCTGGCAATTGTGATGATGCAGGTTGATTTAAATTTGATTTTTTGCCTTTGGTGTTGGCCATCTCATCACCTGCTTTATGCTGACGCTGACGAGCTCCATGGCCAGCATCATTATTGGTAGCAACTTGATGGTTGGTTTGTTTGGGTTTGAGCTGTCCAACATCTTTCTTGATTTGGCTATGCTGTTGTTGTTGTTGTTGTTGCTGTTGATTACACTTACCAAGTGTGTCAATTACCTGGTCCAGTAGTTGCTCCTGCTGATGGTATGTCGTTATAAATTCGGAAACTAAATTTTTCCCCAAATCCTTGCTAAGGTTATTTCCAGGCACTGTTGTTGTTCCTGCTGCCATCGAATGACTCTTGGATGTTGGTTTTTCCATGGAAGTTATTAGTTTCGAATTTCCAGATGCGGAACGCTCATGTTCATGTTCCTGCTCCTGTATTGTTTGTTTTAAGGTTATGGCTGGAGCTGGCGTTTGGCATTTTGAAGTTTCCTTTTGACCTACAGCAGTTATGGGTTTGCATTTTTCGTCATTTTCCTGGGAACCTACTGCCACCTTCTGTTGCGGCTCGTCTAATTTGTTTGAGGTTGCTGGCATTTTGTGGCCCTCTCCCCCCTCCTTCTCCTTCTCCTCCTCGATGTGCACATATGATACCTTTTGGGCCTTGGGCCATGTTTCAAATTTAACATCTAACGATGGCATTTGCTTGAGATTATCTATTAAAGGCTGCAAGCTTCTGTGGTCGACTATGTCCAGTGGTGGCTCCTGCTCCTTCAAATGGTCAGTCAACTTATTAAGATCACTTAAAACTCTATCCACTATGGCCATGTTCTCCAGGCCGGGCTGGGGCATTGATTCTTCAATTTGCCCAAATGTTGCTGATAATGATTCTGCGGTTTGCCCTTGTGGCTGGCTGGCAGCATGAGGAGTTGGCTTCACCTCTTCCATGATGTAGGCGATTTTCTTTAAAATCGTTTGTAACGGAGTCTCGGGGGTGTTAAGGGTTTCTGCTTGGTTTCCTCCTCCACTTTTGGTGTCTGACTCAGCTTTTTCGGCAGATTGCTGGTCCTTGGATTGCGTTTTCTCTGCCTGCATGGAACGCTTCAATGCCGTTTTTGCATTTTCAATATATGCATCGATTTGCCTTAGGTGTTCCGTTATGGATTTCTGTATGTGTTCATATTTAGCCGTCAGGTCGGCAATCTCGTTTTGCTGCTGATTTTTTTCAATTGTTTCCGCCTGAGTATCTTTTTTAATTTCATTCGAAATTGATGGCGTCATTTGGGCGTTTGGGTCATGTTCTATGGGCTTGATGGTTATGCTGGAGAGAGGTTTGCCATTGGTGGGATCATAGGGCCCATAGAGGTACTCTCCATCGGTGTAGTAAATACCTTTGTCCTGCTTACCCCCACTTTCAAGGGGTGCATCTTCTTTGGCTCTGGGGGTGGTGGTGGCATCCTGCTTTGCCTTGGTTTTGATTCCTGCCGTTGATGCTGTGGAACTGTTGCTGACATTACTTGACTGCGATTTACGTTTAGCACTGACACTTGTTTGACGTGAAAGCTGTATGCCATTGGGTGTACTTGGCAAGCGTGTTATGTATGTCTCTGGCTCCTCATGTGTGTGGCCTGTGGCGTGTTTGGCATTTGCCTGCTGTTTTGCTGTTTTGTTATGTTCTGCTGTTGGCGTTGGCATTTCTTCGTCTCCTTCTGCTGAGGAAGGGGGCTTTATTTTCATAGATTCCAATTTAAATTTTTCCATTAAATTTTCATTTTCTTGCTTTTCCTCCTTTATGTTGGCCTTTAGTTGGCCCCCTCCTTCAGCCAGCCATTGTTGTATCTGTTCCTCACTGGGTGAGGGCACAATTGTTATGGCTGCCGGTATGTAAGCCACGGTATTGTCTTGTAAATCAATTGAACGTAAATAAATACAGGCATCGTCGTATTTTTGGTTATCCCTTAAGGATGGGGTTGACAACAAATCTTCACCCTCTCGTGGCATCTCATAGTCCAAGTTTATGGGTATTTGGTGGTTTTGATGGCTTTTCATAGCGGATTTTGCCGTTGGCGGTACAGGTAATGGCACATTCTCCAAATCATCAGCCATTGTCTTCGACTTGGGATGATTAAGGGATTTCACTTGTATCTCATGTTCCTCAGCATCGGCATCATAGCATATCTTAATTTCGGTGGCCATTTTTATGGAACGTCTCTGCAGTTTGGGTGAATTTTCATTGGAAGATCGCGGCTTTTGTGGTGGTAATTGTCGGCGTGTATGCTTGACATCTCGACCCCTTTCCAGGGAGTATGATTGGCGTTTGGGATGGTGATAATGGTGGCGAGGATGTAGCTGCTGGTCTTTTTTCTTTGGCCTCAAACTGGGGCATGCTGAATTCAAGTTTTCATAGCTAAACCATTTTTTGCAAGAGGTCAACTGTTCATAGAATTGTCGCCTGGGTTCAACCAAACCTATATCTTCATCGGCTGCCTTGGTTTCGGGATGGGAAAATCCCTTTGTGGCAGGCAGGCTGGTGGTGCGATAGACTTCGTCATCGTCGTCGTTGTTACCTTCTTGTTGTGGCTTTTCTAAAAACATATTTTTAGATTCATTTAATCCAAGTTGTTGTTGTTTATGCTTGTCATCAGATTGCTCCAACTCTCCATTGCAACCCTCAATTTTTGTAATAATCTCTTCATTTGATTTATTTTCTAAAGTTGTTTTCTGCGGCTGCTGGAGGTGGTGGTATTTTTGTTCCTTAATGACATCTTGTTTTTCAGGTACCTTTGTTCGTTGTTCCCTGCACTTGGTTCTGCTTGATTGGTGGCCTGTTGTTTGCGGTTGTTCCTGGGCTCGTTGCCGCCTTAACCTCACCTCTCTGGCGGTGGGTTCAATTATCCTGGTGGGACTATTGAATTTTTCTCGGATCACATCGATGCCATGACGTTTACAGACGCTTTCGTCAAATTGTAACGCATTGTCAGTGGATGAGCTGCGAACATGTTGTTGTTGTTGTAGTTGTCGTAGATGCCGTTTGTCCATAGCATTCCCAGAGTGTATTTGTTCGTCGTCATCATCATCATCATCATCATTGTCACCGCCACCATCACCATCACATTCAATTGCATCAACTTTATCATGGTGACTTGTTGGTGGCCAGCTGTGTTCACGTTTATGTAAATTTCTTCGTGTTGCCAGGCGATTTATCTTTAGGACCGTATCACGGTCTATCGTTATGTCGTGCTGATGGCTCAAGTACTGCGTTTTGATTTGTTCCAGCTGCTGATGGTGCAATGGTGTGTGTGGCCGTTCCTGGTAACGTTGTCTCGAACGGCTCTGTCTTTGGTTGGGTTTGTCATTCTTAGCTGTTGCCAGTCCTGTTGTAAATGTTTCTATGTCCGTTCGCCATTGGATATTGTTGAGAATTGTGGCGGAGGATGTATGTGTGTGTGGATACGGGTTGTTTTTTTTTTTTTGTAATTGTGCAATGTTGTTGTCGAGTTTCGTCAAGGTGTTTTTGTGTTTTGTTTTTTTTTTTGCCATAACCATTTGTCATTCGGGAGCAAAACAATCACAAACACGTAAAAGAAAAGGACATTAGAAACTGTTTTCATCTTCTTTTTTTTTGCTTTTGCTTTTAAATTTGTTCACATTTAGCTGAAAAATTGTTTTTTGTATTTTCTTCGCTTTTTTGCTTAGCTTAGAATATCTTGAGGACATTTTACGATCGTTATGGGAAACATTTCTTATATTAATAATCTGCAAGTAGTACATACATAAATATTTTATGTTAATGTCAGGACTTAGAGGAAGACTGGAGTGCGACACTTAAACACAATCAGCTACATATTTCCTTGAAAAGCTTCAACAGTTAAATAATTATTTACATGTAACACATTTTGTTATTTGTTTTTAGTAACATTTAAATGGGGAAGGAAGGATGCAAACATAATTCCTGAGCAGAGAGACATTTTTATTACGAAAACAACGGGGTATACAATTTTCAAGAATTTTGCTTGAAATAGTCTACATCACTGTCAGACAAAATTCAATAGAAGGCATATGTATCGGCGTTTTGAAAGGCAATCTAAATGGAGCGGGACAGTTTCCCCTCTCTTCGACATTTTTGGAAATTTTCGAATTAAGATTCTCGAAATGTTGTCATCTCAAATAATACATTGGAATATTTTGATCGAGTCACCAAAAAGAGGTATATGGACTACTTCTGGTCTACACATTTATCAGATGTAATTCGAAACATTTTCATTGTAGTTCGTAATATTTTATTTCATGTACGTCCGTCTGTCTGTCTGGCTGGCTGTTGCGAAGGGAGCATCCGCGTATTATTATCGTCAAACTTAGATTGAATTCCGAGATGGGAAATCTCGGTTCACTCCTCTTGGTAACTACACTACAAAAGGTCAAAATTTTTACAGAAAATAATTTTCCCTATGCAACAAGGATTGATTACCCAATTTTGTTCAAGTTTTGCAAATCCCGATATTTATAGCAGTGTTTCGTAAGGTGAGAAAATTGACAATATCGACCCACTCCATCATGTACCTTCACACAAAGAGCCAAACTTTTGAGTAATTATAGCTCTTATAAAATACGGATCAGGTATCCGATTCTGTTAAAATTTCACACATTCCAATGTTTCTATTAATACATAATAAGGTATGAAGATGGGAAATATCGATATACTCCTTCTGGAAACTCCTCCACAAAGGGCCAACATTTTGAATAACTATGAAGCTCATAAAACGCGAAATGAGAATCTTATTATTTTTTAATTTGGCACATCCCACTATTTCTACTAACACAGCATCTGGTGCGAATATTGAATGTCTCGGTCCATTCCTTCTGGAAACTCCACCACAAACACGAAATTAACATCTGATTCCATTCAGACTTGGCACATCTCCATATTTCTATAAACACATTATCTCTTATAAAGAAGGTAGAGATCGGACCATTTCTTCTGGTACCTCCCCCACAAAGGGTCAATGTTTTGAATATCCAAAACGAGCATAAAAATTCTCTTAATATTTCACACAAACCATTATATCTACTAACTCAAGATCTGCTGTAAAGATGGAGTATATTCTGGTACCTACGCCACAAAGGGTTAAAATTTTGAATATCCATGAAGCTCATAAAACGCGATGTTATCATCCGATTCTATTCAGACTTGGTCTCAATATTTCCATCAACACGAGATCCGTTATAAAGCGGGTAGAGACCGGACCATTTCTTCTGGCACCTCGAACAAAATACTCAAAGAAAGCGAAACAAGCATCTAACTTTCTTCAAATTTCACACATAAACACAGTTTTGGTCAAGGGTCACAATTTCTATAACTTGCGAAACAAGTCACCGATTCTTAACAACTTGCTATATCTAAATATTATCTAAATAATTCTCTCAATCAGATCCTGGGATGAAATATATGATTTGACATAAAATTCCATTAAAATGTTAGATTTTTATACCCTGCACCAGATAGTGGTCAGCATATTATTTGTGCACTTGTTTGTAACTTAGAGAAGGAAGTGAGTTAGACCCATACTTACTTTTGATGATCTGCATAGAATCACATTCTGGGCCGATTTATGCATGTCTGTTCGTCCGTGTGTCTGTCCAAATTACAGGTCGCATTTATTGTCCGACCAAGATGAAATGTTGCTCAAAACATTTGTTTGGTCCAAGGACGAGCCCCATTGGAGATAATCGATACAAATTTAGATATAGCTCCCATATATATCTTCGCCCGATTTGCTTTTCTTTGTTCACCTAATGTGTAATATTAGTCCAACTAGGTTGGAATTTAAAACATGTAACCAAATTGGGCCTGGAAAAAAGTTAGCCGAATTTGGTGGAAATCGGTTAAGATATAGCTATAGCTCCCATATATATTTTTTTCATCCGATGTGTTAATTCTGTCCTCCACAGCCGTAATACAGGACATCTCAGGATTACTTTTGTCAAATTTTATCGAGATCGGTTCAGATTTGGATATGGCTCCAAAAAGTATCTTTACTTGATTTCATGTTTATTGGACATAAAATGGTTAATATAAGCATGAATTGAATGGATTTGGATACCGACGATCGAATTTAGGTTAAGATGTAGCTATCGGTCCCATATATACGTTTCATCAGACTTCGTATTTGGTGTCAATTACCAGATACAGCAAAGAAATACCTCTGCTAAATTTTGTGGAGATCGGTTCAGATTTTGATATAACTCCCATATTTATCTCCACCCGATTTCACGTTTATTGTGTCTAAAAAGTGTAATATCAGCTCAAATAAAATGGATTTTGACGAATATCGGTTCAGACACAAATGTCACCGTCAAATTTAGTAGAATACGATAGAAGCCTGTCATATATTAGTTCCTTTCAGCTTTAAATTATAACTGTTTTAACGCCATAATAGGCATTCAAAAAACGATCGTAGTTGGTATGTTTTTATTCACCATAAATTCCCCATAAAAAACGTTCATTTGTTATATTCAGCTCTACTATATATGCAAAGTGGTATAGGGTATCAAAAAATCGGACCAGCCCGATTTTGGCCTTTCTTTACTGGTTTTTATACCGTCCACCATAGTACGGAGGGGATGTTAAATTTGTCAATCCGTTTGTATATATATTCTTGATCAGCTAAAATTCTATGTCGATCTAACGATGACAGTCCGGCTGTCTATCTGCCGTCTTGTCTCTGTTTAGGTATAGCCCCCACATAAATGTAGCTCCCTATATTCGGTATTTTGCTGATTTCAGCGACATTATTCGCCGGAATTGTTTCAAATTTCCTATTTGCAGTTCATAATGGGTACTTCAGCCTATGACAGAGAAGCGTATATGCAATTTGGATTTTCTAAAAACAAATTACAGCTTACGACAGAAAATTGTCTATGCAGGTCCAGGTCTTTGTATATCCCCCATATATCGGAATCTCCCTATATTCGGTATTTTGTTGATTTCAGTGACATTATTCGGCGGAATAGTTTTAAATTTCGTATTTGAAGTTCCTAATGGGTACTACAGCTTATAACAGAAAATTGTCTATGCTGGTCTAGGTCTTCGTATAGGTTCTAAATATCGGTACCTCCCTATATTCGGTATTTTGATGATTTTAGCGACATTATTCATCGGAAATATTTCAAATTTCGTATTAGAAGTTCATAAGGTCCAGGTTTTTGTATAGCTCCCATATAACTGTACCTCCCTATATTCGGTATTTTGCTGATTTTTGCGACATTATCTACCGGAAATGTTTCAAATTTCGTATGTGCAGTTCATAATGGATACTACAGCCTATGACAGATTGTATATGCAGATCCATGTTTTTGTGTAGCACCCATATAACGGTACCTCGATATATTCCGTATTTTGCAGATTTCAGGTTTCAGCGACATTATCTACCGGAATTGTTTCAAATTTCGTATGTGCAGTTCATAATGGATACTATAGCCTATGACAGAGAATTGTATATGCAGATCCACGTTTTTGTGTAGCACCCAACGGTACCTCCCTATGTTCGGTATTTTGCAGATTTCAGAGACATTATTCACCAGAATTGTTTCAAATTTCGTATTTGAAGTTCATAATGGGTACTACAGAATGTGACAGAAAATTGCCTTTGCAGGTTCACGACTTCGTGTAGACCCCAAAATAACGGTAACTCCTTAGATTCCGTATTTTTAAGATTTTAACTGAATATTTAACGGATTATATTTTTTAATTATTTATTAATTATTATTATTTTTTAAATTAACAACTTCATTCCAAATGGGGGAGGGTATTCAAATTTCGACCCGGCCGAACTTTTTTTTTAATTTTGCCCATACCTATATTTTTAGCCGTATTAGATGCAGTATGAAAATTGAATACTTCGGTCGACTATATCGGGTACCTCACGCACATTTTAACATTTTCTTAAAACTATCATATATCTACCATATAAAGTGAAGGAAGTAACCGATATAGTCCAAACCTGGCACGTCGCAATATTTATATCATATTTATCCGATACGAAATGGACAATATTGGATCATTCCAGCTCCATAATTTGAATAATCATAGCAGAAGTCAAAATATATTTACATAATCGAACATTTGCAGAGGGTATACATCTGTCGGAAAAACCAACTGATACTTTTTAACATGTTATTTGTTACAACTAGCTCTTCTAAATTTGCACAGTGGTGTGGGGTATCACATAGTATAGCACGTCCGAATTTGTTTCTTTTTTTGCTGGTTTTTATGTGTACAAGCACTCGCTCATAACGGTTCCTAATTTTTTATAGCATTTACCTTCAAACAACTTTCCTATTTTTAATATTTTCAATTTTACTTCAAATTCCTTTCTCAATGAAATGGATC